TCATACCATTGATTGGATAATTAATGTTCTTTTCCTGCAACCATTTTATTGTTTTGTCCAACTATAACATGGAATTGGTTCCACGTACCCATTGGCGGAGGAATAACTTTTCTCTGGAGGGGGCTTGAGCCCCCCCTTTAAAAATGCACTCTTCCATAAAATAGAAAACAAAATATAAAAGGTGTTTATGCAAAATATTTTTAAATTAAAACATGAATTATGCAAATAGTAAGTATGTATATGTCGGCGTCAATTAGTGAAATCCGCCATTCCCTGAAATGCCTAGTCATTTCACGTATTGCCGGCAAACAGCGTAACTCTACATTTGGTACACCGTTTGCCTAATGGTTTCAGACATTCCCAGTAATGACGGAATCGTTTCAGTCAAACGCTGTAACTAACTAAATGATTTAAGTTACTCTGTTTGCCTGGTTTAGTCAATCATTGTAATTAGGACAGTGTTGCCAGTAATACAGAAACGGTTATTGAGTATTAAATTTAAAACATAAACTCATTTATTGTCAGTATGTAATTACAAAGGAGAATGGTTTGGACAAAAAAAAAATATTCTGAGATTAAATTCGCCTATCTAGAGCATACATACTATAAAAAAATCATAGAACGTACAAATTGGAACGAAATAAAATAAAGCTACATGAAAAATATAAAATAACTGATAATATGGTTTATTTATTATTTATTAGCGCAAGGTGCGCTTTTATGACACCTTGAATTACAAAGACTTGTTTTCTCACACAAACACATCTGTTTGGCAAACATTGTTTTTTCGCTGGCTTACATGAACACTTAAAGTATTCTTGATCTCCGGAAAGTGAGAGCGACTGCACAGCTTCTCTGCTTTTCAGGGACCTCATATACTTTGGTTTCCATTAAATCAGGTCGATTGAACCATGATTTGATTCGACCAGCTACACATCCGACTTGATAGACCCCATTTTTGTAATCTGTTACAACACACATCAAATTTATCAATTTTATCAATAGGTAAAAGGACGCACGAACCTATATTTATTGGTAGAAGTTTTTTTGGTTTGTATCATGTCTGTTTTCTTCAATTATTGCTGTATTTTGACATAATATACATTTACCTCCATCTTTAGGGCATGTAATGCATAACGTAACTTCTTACTGTAATTTCTTCTGTGTTTTCATTGGTAATCACCAATGTTTTTATTTCTTCTTGATGCTCAGCAATCAAGTGAACAACATCCTCGACCACATCATTGTGAACATCAACCGATTCCCCAATGCCAGTGGTTCTTCTATTTCATCACAATGTGATTTTTCTTGCAGGTTTTCATTTTCCATATGTTCTTCTAACATACGCAAGTCATCTTCATTTTCCACTTTATCCAGCAAATCTCTAGGTAGATTCAAAGGAAAAAATCCAGCTTTAGGGTCAACTCCAAATAATGCTTTATATGGTGAACGTCCAATTTGTGGTAGGGACTATTCTTTTGAAACTGTACGAAATAACAACCCAGTGACAAGTTTTTTAAACTATATGGTCGTACATCCACGCTCTAAGCATATTTTCCTCATCTTGATTGCTTCTCTCTATGCTTCCCTGTGATTGTGTATGCCTTGGTCGACCATGAATAATTTTTAAAAATGGCCAAATTTTCACCATTTCCGATATCACAGATGCCGTGAATTCTCGACCATTGTCACTTTGGAGTATGCTAGGTGCACCAATTTCCAAAAATTTTTTGAGGTTCGTTTGCTACCTTATTCGCAGTTTTTGTCTCAGGAGGACGTAAAAATAAAAAATTTGTTAGGTGATCTTGGTAATTAAGCAATCAACGGTATTCATTGTCTGAGAAGATTGATTTCTTTTGGCAAACTTGACATGTTTCGAGCAATGTTTCTATTGCATATCTTCAAATGTCATATTTTGTTTTTAAGTTGTGTATTATTTTATCCCGACCGCCATGACCAACATTTATGTGTGCTTCACAAACAACATTAACTATTTTTTCGTAACTAACCAGTGAAACACTTTCCTTCTTCATGTTTGTCCTTTTTAATAACAATTTTTTCTTCTCTCACTTCCAACACGTCATATAAAGATAAAAGGTGATACTGTCTTCTCGTTTTTTTTTTTCAGAAGTTTGCTTAGCTCGCAGAATTTCTGTGGCGACCTAAAAGAATACAAAGTAAAATATAATACTCGTTTTATAATTAAAATCCACATGCTCAAAAACCCAATGAAAAAGCAGACAATAAAATCACTCTTTCCTCAAGCAAATTAATTATAAAACCGTGTTAAACTTCACAACAGTGTACGAATTTGAAGTGATTTTGTAGATTGCAGTAGTTGAGGTTAGGTTTCAAATCCTAAAAACCAACTTACCTTATATTGTCACAATTTTGTAAACGACAGCTCCATCCATTCGAACTCAGATTTTGAATTTCCGTAGGTTTGAGACCTAATTTTTGGTAAGAACCAAACAAAAAATTAATAGATAAAAACAACTAAACAGGATCATTTCTAATCCTAACTTATCACATGAATTTGAAATATTTAAGATTGTAACATCATCCTAGTGAGTAGGGCCCAATATCAATTAAAATATTTCTAATGGTTGATTTATATCTACCTACATTTTTAATATTTTTTAAATAGCGTGGAAACATAAAATTGTATGCATTTAAAATAGTGTGGTTTTATGCGTTGGTACTACGTTCTACAAAAAAATCTACTCCGCGTGTAGGTATTATGTGTATGACCAAAAATATGTTCTCTAAAGTAAAAGTGATTTTCAATTATACAAATTTATATAAGAATATACAAATACACCAACACCGTCATCAGATTATCTAAAAAACCTTCGACACGAATCTCTAAAGTTCAACCCAAATAGTATTCTCGATAGGTACTCTTTTTTATATCACAAAGACCGCGTTGATAAATATTAGCGGCAGATAAAATATTTCATTTTTACAGTGAGATGAAGTGTTTAATTCCGCAAATCGCTATGGTAATTCATGGCTTTATTGACGATTGGCGATAAAATAACTTTTATCGCCGTTTATTATTATTTTTCTGTTTACTTTGTCATAGTAAAATGTGATGTTGTGATTTCTCCTTTTTTATTAATTATAGTTATTTACGGATGGTGATAAACGTTTATATGGACCACATCAACAAAGTCTCTTTATCAAACTCGCCTGTTACTCGCTTCTCTTGCTCGGCTCATAATATTAGACTAGTTCGACAAAGAATCACATAAATAACTATTATTTTTGGTTCATTTTCAAACGATTCACGAGATATTAGCACAGCTTACATAGTATGTCCCCCTAAATTGAAATCAAATGGAAATTTTTTTTATTATTAAATTTAAAAAAAAAGTTATGCTTCATAAAAAGTTCTGCATTATCTAAAACATAGAATACAGTCATCAAATATCAAATTTTTTCAGTGGTATACGAGGTTTGTCAAAAAATATGAGTTTTACGAATGAAAATTTGAAATCTTTTGTAAATATTAAATAGTAATATTTCAGAAATGTGTTATAGTTTTTTTTCTAATATATTATTAGACTAAAAAAAAAATACATTTAAAAATATACTTGTTTATTTAAAATTCACAAAACTCAAACATTGATTCTTAAACAAACAAACAAACAAACAAACAAACAAACGAACAAACAAATAAATAAATATGTTTTAAAGAATATTTCATAAAATATAGAATCGAATTGCTTCATTTCCACCAATTCCTTTAAATGCACTAATTTGAGACAACTAGATTTTTTTTTTTAATAAATGCTTTAAGTAAAGAAAAATTTACGATTATTATAATCTAATCATTAAGATCAATTAGCAATTTTATTTTTACCTAACTTATCTAGAGATGTAAAACTTCATAAACTAAGATTCTATTCACTATAGTGTACTTTAGAGTCTAATTATTTAGTTACACTACCGTTAACGTATAACACTTAACCGCAAAGCTGGCAAGTTGCTTCTTTTCCATCAATTTCTTTAAATGCACTAATCTGAAACAAAATATAGGTAATTAAAAAAGGATTTATAGAAATTATTTGATTAACAATAGTTTTATTAATATTGTTTTAAATTAACTATAATAAAACAATACTCATGTCTAAACAAAACATGAAGATCCACCTAAGCAAGCAAGAGTAAAAAAAGTTTTAAAATAAAATTTTGCATAAAATTATATAAAAATTTTAAAAATCGCCTGATGGACAAAAAAAATTCCATATAGTTATAAGAGTAGGTTACCCCAAAACATAAATAACAAAAAACCTAAAATATTTCAATTAATTCTTATTCACCCCCAAATTAAGACTCATGAAGCCCCTACATAATTTACCAAATATAGATTTTTTAAGTTAAACGGATGTGGAGTTATTAATTTTTTTCGAAATTTATGGCTCCATTTTAGGCTTGCGTAAATTCTTAGGGGTACAACTTGGTATAGAGGTAAATTGCGTTAATTAAATCATATTTTGGGGTGCCTAACACGCAACTGATCTGTGTTGGTATTTATGCGGAACACCCTGTATAATTCATCGGAATGAAAAATTAATAGTATTTTTTTTGGGGGGGTGGGTGGCTTAGTGGTAGAGTCTCTGCCTGCGGATCCCAGGTTCGAATCCCACCGTTGGCCGGGATTTTTTATTTAATTTAATTATTTAAAATGAATTCTGATGCCTTGATAGGATTCCCCACTCGACCATTCACTGTTGGGTTCTAATTAACAGTACTGTTCCTAAAGTGGTGCTGGGAAACAGTAACAAAGCCTACACAGACCACGAGGCTAATAACCTTAGTAGTTGATGCCAATGACACCAAATAAAAAAAATGGATTCTTTCTTTCATTTTTGACGTAAATACATTAAACATTGGTTAGTTATGTCTTCGTCCAACAGATAGGTATGATTGGGAATTGGAAAAGAGTATTCTCCAATTATATAAATTTTTATATTACAATAAAACATTTATTTTAGACATAGGCGAGAAAAAGAAAAGAGGTAGGAAAAGAAAATGGCCTAAGAATCCATGCGAGAAAACTAAGAAACTTAGTTTGGAAGTCGATGAAGGTTTTAAATATCAATGTGAGCGGTGCGTTATGATTTTTGCCAATGTATCAGAACTTGAGCTACACAGAGAAAAAGAACACGCTTCGAATTTTACTTGTGAAGAATGTGGTCAGGTAAATTACGTTTCTAATATTTAATAATTATTTGAGTATTCCGTTAAGCATATATTTATTTACGGATTTCTAACTTTTCGGAAATTACAGAGACAGAAAAACTAGCCTAATTAAAAATTAATGAAAAAGCTTTATGTAAAAGTGACAAAATAAATGCTATATGTATGTGGCCTAACACTACTTATATGGGGTAGCACCGCTTTTTATAGTTTTCTATATCAAATTTTTCTGGGTGGATCAATCTGCGCTGTAACTTTACTGCACCTTACATATTTTTCACCTCTTTCTATCTACAGGGTGAATCCTAAATTTATACTTTTTTAACTGCGTATAGAAGTCGTTAAAATAAACATCTTTTTTAAATAACTTTTTTGAAAAAACTCAAAAATAAGAAAGATAAAGAATTAATAAATCTAATAACAGGCCTGAACTGAAAAATTAAACAAATTAGTAAGTCCTTCTATATTTATGTTTTTCGTTTATTTTTACAAATAGAATCACGAATATTGTAAGGCAATGGCATCATTTCACTTAGCAGGCCAGTAATGTGTATCTATTCAGTATATAGATAGAAAATTAAGTGAGTTTAGAAGAACACATTTTAAATATTAGCAAAAAAAGATTTGTAGTTCGTGCAACATTATTTATTTAAATTGCAAAGCGCTTTCGGCATAACGCCATAATCAGTGCTCGCCTACAAAGAATAATTGTGGGTGTAAATACATAAAATGGAAATTTGAGTCAAAACAATTAATTTTAAAAAAATATTTTTTTGAATAGACAGTTACCTAACAAAGTTAATTTTTTTTACAAAGTCTAGAAACAATTCTGTGTTGCAGACAATGATTAGGCTCTAAATAAACCCTTCATTGTTCAAGTCGAATAAAGGGTTTAGGGCCTAATCATTGTCTCCAACACAGGATTTTTTTCATGAGACAATGATTAGGTCCTATAAACCCTTCATTCGACTTGAACAATGAATGGTTTATTCAGGGCCTAATCTTTGCCTCCATCATAGGATTTTTTCTATAATTTGTTAAGTCTATTCAAAAAATCTTTTTTAAAATTGTTTTAACTTAAATGTCTAGTTTATATTCACATATTTTATATATTTACATATTTTATATATTTACATATTTTATATATTTACACCCACAATTCTTTGTAGAAACAAATAATTTTGCACGAAATAATAGATGTTTTATTTGCTAATCTAAGCTACGTGCACACAGCCGTTAACCACTCTTGGTTCTTTTAATTAAATATTAATGTTATGGGGACTTGTTAGATAAGTGCGCGGATGATTGCATATCGGGTGGGATGAGCCAAAGAAAAGTATGGATAACTGCGGGAAAATCAATTGTAATCCTTTCATGTTGAACTTCAACATTTCTCTCGCAGAGTTAATTTTTGCAAGTGGTTTTTACAGCGCATGAATGTAATCAACATTTTTCGACGAAAGTTGTTAGACTGTATTGAATACATTTTGGAATTAATTACGGAATGCCATTCCTAGACATTTCTAGACTGTTCTTTATTCTTATTTTATTCGTTCATTTCCTGTAACAGCCGCAGGATACTGCAGGGTACAAGGTAATTATAGTAAGTTTTTATTTTTGAGATTTTTTTGAAAAAGTTGTTTATTTTATTGACTTATATACACAGTTAAAAAAAAGTATCAACTTAGGATTCACCTATAGTTTACAATCATGTCTGCATTATTGATGTCCTATTTAAAGCATTGTTAACTTCTTGTATTCATTTTGATTCTGTTATATTCGTCTTCTTGCCACCTAATTTTTTAAATTTTTTTCTTCTCTCTCTTACAGTCTTGTAATATTCCCGGTTTGTTTCTTTACTTTTCAAAAATATTTGTTTTTAATGACATTTTCTTTCAATTCCTTAAATTTATCCAAGTAACATATAAAGTTGAGGAATATATCGGCGACCATCAAAGCGACGATAAAGTGGACTACTACCATAAGCGGCCACGTTCCTGCTACGTAGTCGCCACTAAAATGAGAAAAATATTTAGTGGCCTGTTTCGGGTATTCCCGGCCTCTATAGATGTGACTATGTGTACTAGAAAGGCTCGGGAAAATAGCTGGTATTATTCCGTGACTCGTCGGCCGACTAGTAACTGCCACTAGGGCTGGGCGATTATCAAAATAAGTAATCGATTATCGATTTTTTTTAAATAATCGAAATAATTGATTCATCGAAATAATCGATTAATAGAAATATTCGATTAATCGGTTGATCGAAAATAATCGATTCATCGTAAATAACCGATTTATCAAAAATAATCGATCTATCGATTATCGATTTTTCAAAAAAAATTAAGCGACTTATCCAGTATTTTGCCCACCCCTACTTGAAATACCGAAATATAATAGAGATTGCGTTCAAGGTAACAATTCAGAATTTATAAAAAAATCGGACATACGCTCACAGTAGGAATTAGTAGTTTTCAATCATTTCAGGATTGTTACCAAGAACGAAGCTATTTCAATACAAATCAAAATTAAAAAACATATTTTAAAAAGGTTATTACAATATATTTACATTTTACACTATACTTATTTTATTTTAACAGCAAGCTAGTGTGATTGGGTGTTTTGTTTATAAATTGCTCTTAAAAAAAAATAAACAAAAACTTAAATTTCAACATAATTTTTAAAGACAGTTGTTGCCCACAATACATTTTTAATTAGATTGAAAGAAAATTATTTTTTTTTGTATTTTCTTTAAAATAATTTATTCGAATATTAGCTATTTTTATGAAACCAGTTACAAAATGCCTTATTTTATGTAACGAGTAAATATTTGCTAGACGAGCTTCAAGAGTTTAAAGTGGGAAGAGGGGGGTATTGGTAATAAAGTTTAGGTCTGGAGGGTAGTGGTAATATTTAAGACTTTATTTAATACATTTTAATAACTATAAAAAGTTAGCTTTAAAAATTCTTGGAGGGTAATTACCCCCATTCCCCCACCCCGTACATGCGCCCCTGATATAAATTAAATGAAGAAATTTTAACGCGCCCTCAAAGTAACTTTTTTTGTATTTTTTTTTTACAAAATAATTTAAAATGGCAAGATTACAAAATATAACCTATATTATTCGTGATGTAGATAAGCAATAAAATTGTGTGTCCCTTAAAAGATTCCCAGATCCGTATTAAAATATCTTATGAAATAATATTTTGTACCTATTTAAATAAAGTATATTGTAAAGTATTTTCTTTAAGATAACGAATCGTATAATTCCAAACAGTTTAGAAAAAGTAAAATAAATAATGGGAAATTAAGAGTAACTATCTAGGTACCTCTTCAGAAATGACCGCTTTACCGTTTTTAGAAACACTAGAATAGGTACTTATCTGCGTAGAGGTGACCGCCTGCTAATAAGTCAAGTGGTTGGTGCTTTTTGACCTTACAATATTTCTGGTTCTGCTTTACCAATGGGAACTATTTCGCTATCCATGTTGCCACTGAAATGCCACGGTACTTTAAAGTTTCAAGTGATGGTCACTGGAACTGTTCTGAGCTCGTTTTTCTCTTCGTGTACCCAGTTACTTTATTTAGTCTTATTAGTAGCATTGGTGGGTGGCAGTAACTGATTCAATGGTACTATAGAGTTTTTGTCCCTATAGAGTAACAATCAAATGATACTGCCCAGTTCCAGTAGGTAACTACCCAAATGTTACTTTGACTTTATGTTTACAGTTCCAATAAATGGTATCGGTTACTATAAAAGAACTATATACAGTAGCCTTACCCAATAAAGTAGCAATATTAGTACCAGGGTGTACGCCAGGAACTAAAGCTTCGTAGCAAAAATGAACCGAACGGATTTGGTACTACAAGGGCGGCTCCAAGAGGAATTTTGGGGGGGCATTGCTTTTAGATATTCCCTTTTTAGTATATTTTTTTGAATAAAAGGGGGGCATGGCACCCATATCCCCCCATCCCTCTGGAGCTGCCCTTATGGTACTATGTGTGTTACTTGGAGAGTCATTGGAAATAAAAATTGAGCTCTATGAGGATTAATTGAATAAAAATTTGATATCGATTTTTAGGTACTTCACAGTGCAAAAGCGCTAACTATTCACAGTAGAGCTCATAAAAGTCTTAAGCCATATGTATGTGAAACTTGCGGACGTAGTTATTCGCAGACGTCTCATCTTTGGCAACACATGCGGTTCCATCAAGGTGAGTGTTGATTCTAAGTAGACTTGGCTTGACTTGACTTGACTTGACTTGAAAGGTATCTTTGCTATTCTTTCACTTAATATACATGGAAGAGAGAGATAATATATGCTATGGCTACAAATTTGCCGAAGTCGTTCGATGTGTTCTCTGTCTACCCATAAGGGTACCTTTCAAGTAACAAGTGAGGTAGGTATGATTTTCCTAATTGGTCTAATTACTATTGGTTTGTTCCAACAATAATTAGAAATACTCAGGATTTTGCTGATTAGATTGTTAAGTACCCTAAATGACTGGTTCTAATCGCTGTTGAAATAAACTCTAGTTGATACAAATTTGAATTTACAACATAAGAATTAAATATTGAGCGAAGGAAATGTAAAACTATTTGAACATATATGAGTAGCTGCACAGATTTCACAGACTGTGTCTTTTTCCATCAATTTGTTGGAATCGCTGTTTCGTGTTTCATCGATGCGACCTTGAACTTCTTGCGTTGAATTCGTTTTATTTGTGCTTGATTGTTGAAAGACAACATTTGACAGTTTGAGTTTAAATTTGTGTTTATAATTTTATCTGAATGTACCTATGTACCTTAATTTGAAAGTATATTTTTCTAAAAACTATTTTTTCGGTTTTCCCACAACAAATAAATAATTAACTTCTCAATTCCTGCAATTCAGCTGTCAGTTATCACATGTAATCGGAAAAAACATAAATTGAAACTGATGAATTGGTGTTGCATCACATACTTTTATTACTATACGGTGCAAGAAAGAGGTCCGACACGCCCAACATAGGGCGCGGCCATTTTGATTCCTATGCCATAGTTTATAGCTAAAAAATCAGATCGCTCACTCTGCGTCGGCACTTTTGATCTCAATATTCCAGTTTATACACTGCGCAACTCGGATAATAAAATATATGACAACCGCCTATAATAAAACAGCAGTCTTCTGCGGTTCCTGAATTTGTATCCCTGGAATGGATGTTATTTTGGAACTTTCAACTGGTGCGAGTGAGCTAACTGATTCTTTAGCAATAAACTGTGACTCCAAAAATAATATTCACTAACACCAGCAAGCAAAATATCAGGTGCGTTTTAATCATCCGCTTCTGCTTCCGGAATTGTCGGTTTAGTCGTTTTAACCTGTCAGATTAAAACAAGAAAACCGACAATTCCGAAGCAGAAGCGGATGATTAAAACGCACCTATTAAAAATATTGTGCCAAGATGTAGGCAACACGTAATAAGGGATCAAAATAGCGGATTTTCTATCTCCTTTTAAAAGGTACTCAGAAAGCTGCGCAGTGCGACCATTCTCCGTATAGTAAAAGAAAATCAAAGTATGTGTGTTGCATCGATTGCAACAACGTTAAATAAAAAGACAACATTGTTAGTTCATTCCGCACCGATTCCAACGTTGCTACAAGAGTTGAATAAAAGGACAAACATTTTTCAACAATTCTGTTCGAGCAACATTTGTCCGTCTTATACACTGAACTGTAACTATTACTTCAACGCTAGTAAACAATACATGCGCGAGAAAATTTTGTGCCATCCATGCAGCGTCGAATGGAGTATATTTATTTTGAAAGTACTGTACTGTAAGGTACGTGCGCTTGCGTATGACTTACATGGTAGCCATGACGCTGGTCGGCGTGAACAGAGATAACTTTAGCCCAAAGCACCTGAAGTGTTTAGTGAAAATTGTTGTGCTTTTAGTTTGTTTAGTTTGGTTTAGTTGTTTCTGCTGTGTTGAAATTTGCTAGTTTCAAAATTATTGCAAATTTGTGTTTGTGTGAACACCCTAGAGTATTGATTTTAAGTTTTATTTAATAAAAATCAGAGGACACTAAGTGCCTTTTAAAATGGTGCGGAAATGTATGGTTTTGAAAAATAATAAACCGCCATTATACCAGTAAGTTCAGTTCTATTTATCGTATTACTTAATTATCTATATAAAAATATATTTTGCAAATCGGTCAATATTTTTGCATAACTAGTGGAGCTGTACGTTCGTGATCGATTAGCCGGCCTCCTAGTTTAAGCATTTTTATTAATTTTCGAACTTTTAAACTTTGTTTCCACATCTTTTTATAAATTATAATTGTGAGAGTTTACAGAGCAATTTCAGAAGCAGCTACCATATGTCTTTTTTCCATTATAATTAGTGTTTGTTACCTATCAATAAATTTTGTGTATAAATGGTTTTGTTTTAAAAGCGGTGGTACACGCATTTTTTCGGGGCATTAGGGATTTTTTATTTTCTGATTTCCAAATCTCCTTAAATTTGTGTTTATGTTAATATCTATTTTAATTTTTAAAACAAAATCAGGCTGACTAAACACACCTTTAGGGTGGATTTATAAACTACGTTCAGTTCGCGCTCAGTTCGAGTTGGCAAGACATAACCACAAATTCCACAAAATAAAAATATATTTTGTTGTTATTTTTGTTTTAATTATATTTGTAGACGGTGTTGGTTATAAAATAATTATGAATCCGTTATAATTTCTTATCCAAAACATACTTACCATGTCATTCTGCTCTGTTTGTGGTGAACTCGAACTGAGCGTGAACTGAACGCGAACTGAAGGTAGTTTATAAATCCACTACTGCGCAACATTTCGACGCACTTTTAGTACTAAATTTAGTAGAAAATAGAACAAGTTCTAATTAATTAATTAATTTTTTTAGTACTAAATTTGCTGTTTGCAACGTGAATTTTTTTAGTACTTAAAAAATGCATTAATTTAGTTCTAAATTTAGTACTTAATTTAGTATCGTGACATACAGCCTTAATATCAAAAAAAAATTAATATATTTTTTAAAACATTCTAGGGTTAAATACACCAAATCATTCTAAAAATACATGATGTTCTATTTAAAAAACACATTTTTATTTGCCAGTCAAATCCATATAACTTTTATTAAAAACTTGTTTGTTTGTCTATAAAACAAATTGAAATATTGATCAATTATATATGCACTAATGGGACACCCTGTATATATTTTCAAATTTTTTTTATTGATAACACTGAAGCTCGCCAATAGCTAAACAAAAATTTAAAACAGAATCGGTTCACAAACAAGAGAAAATAGTACTGAACTATTTTGTCTTTGCCTATTTATAGATTATCATTATCTATCAATCACCTTATGGTACAATCACGATGGTGGAAGACTGTTTTATTACAAATTAATAATTAGCAAAATTTGACATCTTTTAAATTTAACTTATATGCTCTCACCATGGGCGTCGTTACACAATTCTATAGGAGGGGGGGCAAAATTTTGAAAAAATTTAGTATGTTAATTTATTGAAAAACAAAGAAAATTAAACATAAAAGAGAATTTTCTTATGATGGATTTAATTATTCTTCCGGTTTTTCCAGAAATAACTGAAAATCGAAATTTATTTTTTTTTTTAATGAAAACCCTTTTTCTTATTGAAAATTTGAATTTCTGGTACATTTTTGTATAAGAAGCGTGTATTGAAAATTTTTTCAGTAACATAGTTTATTATTATGAAACAATGTTATAATGTTATAATAATTATTAAATAATCAACCTTGCCCATCCTTGCGATTCAAAACAAATTATCGACATAATTAAACAAAGTTTTATGTACATGATGTTAATTAAATAATTAATTAAAATTAGGAAAAACATGAATTTATACGAGTCGTGACAATATATTAGAAATCTAATTGGGATTTTTATGGGGATATGAGATTACCGATTTTTGAATTATTAGATGGGATTTTAGAAAAGTTAAAAAAAGTCGTTTGTAAGAATTGTTTAAGTTTTGATTGAAGTTAGGTATGTTAAATTGGTATTCTGTTGATATTATTTGGAAGATAAAATAAATAAAAATACAGACATGCAGAAATCCTGAGAGAGCTGACTCAAGCAGGGTAAACCAGAAGGTAGATAGAGTACAGAAATACAGCGAAGACGATTATATTATTTATAATATACGAGTAAATTATCAAAAATTTTAGGAAATTGAACCCACCCGTATTGAGGGTGAATTTTGATTGGGATTTTTTCATAAATAGGTTTCCATATCAAAATGTACACATAAATACAGTTGAAAATACAGATAAAGATACATACAGTTATACAGATAAAGATACATACAATTAAATATACAGATAAAAATTAAAATAATATTTTGAGAAAAACCAACTTCAAAGTAAATTTGTAATGATTGAGTAATAATGGTTCATTCCGTACTTTTTTATCTTTATCTTTATCGGTTGTAAGCAGGTAGGGTTAGGTTTGGCCCAGAACACTGCGGCTTCTTGAGTCTATTATATTCCCCTGCTTTTCCCGTATTCAGGTACTATCTTTGGAATAGTCCTGCGTCTTTGGTTAGTTTTAATAGATTCCCTACCAAGTGTTCCTGGGGCGTTCTTTCCGGTTCTAGCCCGAAAAGGATGAAACGTCACCTAGTAAGAGCTTCGCATTCGAAAGATCACATGGTATGAGGTTTCTTCCTCTTCCATGCAGAGACTACACGTAGTGGGATCATTGTGTAATCTCATCACATGAAGGTGTTTCAGCAAGCAGTGCCCCGTTAGTAATCCCACAATGGTGGATATCTGAGGCCTTGCGAGTTGTAGTGCCTCAGTAGCCATGCGTGGGTTTGGTTTGGTCCCCTTAGCATGAGCTTACTGATTCTGTGCCCTCTTATCTGTTGCCAGTGAATTTGGTGGTTTGTGGTTATCCACTTGTTCACTGCCTGTCGAGCAGAGGTTTTGCTTATCGCAAATACAGATTCGGGTCCTGTGAATGGTAGATCTGATCCCTCTTTGGCGAGTTCATCAGCCTTTTCATTTCCTTGGATACCTTTGTGCCCTGGTACCCACGCTAGTTTTACCTTGTTGTGGGTTGCCAGATCATTTAGTATTCCAAGGCAGTTCCATACCTACTTTGTCTTGATTCTGTTTGAATCAAGAGTTATTAAGGCTACTTGGCTATCTGAGAGAATTAGG